TCTCCCGAATCCTGGAGGTTTAAGAGACATATACATACTATAAGATTGTTGTATATACAAAACTCTCCAATTATAATTTTCAGATTACTTATTTTCTCTTAAAAATCAGGGCATCATCCGTAGTGGGATCAAGGAGAAGACGGGAAAAACCAATTGATTCATGTGAATGGATAGTTATTTCATCTACACGTATAAAATTATTATTAGGAAATATACATGCAAAATAAATATAAAACATACATTGCACAAAATGAAAATAACAATGACATATGCTTGATTATCCATACCTTCTTTTTTATTTACACTCCAATCGGTTAAGACAGAAACCGCAAAAAGACCAGTGAATCCTTTGGTTCTTTCTTTGATATCAGCGGCAAAGTCCCCGTATGCGATGCATTTCAACTTCACATCCCTTTGATTTGAACAATTTAAGTTACAAACTTTGTTACCAAGGCATAGTGATCGTGAGAGAAAATATAAACTTACTCGAGATCTGTGATGGTGAAAGTTATTTTCTGAATAGTATCTCCATCAGGGTTATTCTCTGTTTCAATGTCGCTAACATTTTCCATTACTCCAATGAGATCTACAAATCAATTATAAGATTAATATTTATCATAAACGAAATTCATTTATTTTTTTTCTTCTATATATGTACAAATTTATATATGAAATCACTGAAACGAATATTAGAAGTTAATCTTACCAACAGGATACAACAGAGCATAAAGAATTCTGTATATCTCACTAAAAAGGACAAATTTCATGAAGGGATCCATTGTCAATGGTCGTAGACTTGAGACTTCTGTCCCAGTAGTGAGAATGATCTGATAATTGTGTCTCGTTGTTCTTCCCTCATTCTTCCATTTAGATGGTATCAAGCCGAATTTAGACAATTCAAGCCATCGTCCTTCGGTCCCAACACGGTAAAAATATGGAAAGGCGATGTTACCACATGAAGCATTAATTCTACAACCCTACATACAATGAAATTTGCAAATAGATCAAACAAACAATTAATATAGACAAAACAGTTATATATTCATATTAGATAATACTTACATTTTCGTCGACTAAAATGAAATTCAGCCCTGGTAAGCCTTGACGATCAGGTTTATTCCATCTTTTCAAAACTTTGACACGGATTTTCCAATCTCGTCTCCATGCATGTAACTCATCAACAAAGTTAGATGTGGTCATGTGGATAATGTTTTTATAAAGCCAAAGAAACAGTTGGGGAGAAGGATTGCTTTGTTGTTTATTTTTAACAATGGATATGAGGAAATGAGGATATATAACACCCAAATAACGGTTATGGAAAGTGTCGCGTGAATCAGTGCATTTTACGTATTTTTTAAACTAAAAATGGTCCATTTTTGAAAAGTTGCAACTTATGATGAATATTCTAGATAGATTATTGGTTAACACGGTTTATCTGTTAAAGGAAGAGTCGAATTTTTGTTACAACACAAAAAATTTTGGCCCATAAGATGTATAAAAATATTGGGCTCAGATGATATATAATTTAAGTGTAACATAATAAACCATTTACATCAAACAGATTTAGAATCAAATCAGTTATATATGTTATTAACATGCTTTTTAATAATCCAACACGCTCTATTTTTTGACAGAATATTATTAAAAATATTTAATATCGTTTATAATCCAATTTATTAGAATAATGTTATTTTTATCCAATGACAATCCTTCATAAATAATCAACTCACGATAGCACATAATCATACTCCAGTAGTAAATTTCCCAAAACAATGTATATTATATCTATAAGGAGTAATTTAAACCCAAATTAGAATAAATTATTATTTATTAATAATCGCAAAACAGCCTTGTAAATACAAAAAAGTGTCTAACAAAACTAATAATATATATGGATTATAGATTTTGAATCCTTTTAATCGGCCCAATCCATTAGACATTATCTGTATCCAGCCCATATAATCTCTCTCTAATCCTGAAATTTCAATAACAAAATCATGTAGATCTAAATATATGAAAATAATTTTTGTTTCATAAGTCAATTTAAATAACACATAGAAACATACTTACCTACTGCGCAAGGTTAAAACTTCATCAATAGGTGAATCAGTGATAAAACGGGACACACCATCATCATCATGATCCTTGATAGACACATTCTCTTAAACATATATATTGGAATATTGTTATGTTATATACAACGATTTTATAAATAACATATTGATGTATCAGCAGAGAACATACCCCCATCAATTGCTACACACCAATCGGTTAACACACATATAGCAAAGGGACCTTCATATTCTCTACACTTATCTCTTATTTCAGTTGCCAACTCACCGTGTGCAACACACTCTAGCATATACTCCCTATATTTTGACAAAGAATGTAGTTAATAATTAGTTAGTTAAACTTCAAAAACATATAGTTTGAGATATACTTACTCATCATCTATTATATTAAATCAAATTGATGATGAAGTCATTCCATCCGGGTATGTAATAGTAAAATATCTAGCATCTTCGACGACTCCAATCAAATCTGCGATTGTAATTAGTCAAAATAAAGACATTAGTGCGAACTATAAATTTTGCATTATAAGAAGATACCAAAATATTCTTACCAATTAGATAATAATGAGCATCTGGGAATTCATAAATCGAGAGGAATGATACAAAATTATAGAACGAATTATTTGTTAATGGTAAAGCTGGTGAAATCTTGTCAGTGTAATAACGTAATCGTGTTTTGTAATACTTTGGATATTAGTCCAGCTGTAAGGATTCAAAAGAAATCTAGTCAACATAAACCATTGATCTTCTTCGCATATTTGATTGAAATGCTCCATCATCTGATTGTTTACCCGAACCTGTATTCTACAACCCTAAAAGTTTATACGATAACATTAGAACAACAAAAGAACGAATTAGTCTATGTTAAAACAATAAGCATAACCAATAATAAATATCACAAATACCATTATAGGTTAATGAAATTTATCCTTTCATCGACCAGAATGAAATTTAGACTTCGATTATCGTCCGAGTAATCCACCACCCATTTTTTGAGTATCTTCACTATAATTCTCCAGTCAGATCTTTGAGAGTCCAATTGACGAACAAAATCATAATCCACCATTGCGTGATAACTATCGTTTAGGGTTATGCAATTTAGAGTATATTTATAAGAAAAAATGTGATTTTATATTAATCTATAACCGAAAATTAAGAATATTAACATTTCAGGATAAATATAGATAAGGAAACAATATTATTTTCGAGTAAAATAAGTAGATATATATATATATTGAGGTTTTTCTATTTAAAATTATGTTAATATTCCAATTCTCATTGTTACCAATTCTTAAAATTGTTTACTATAACACCATCTATATATTTTAAATGAAAATTTTATTGTAAAGAAAAATTACATTAGCTAAATCATAAACATCTACATATATATTTTAAAGATGGTGACTTGTTATCGTGTTCAAGAACGCGTAAATTCAACCAAGTAATTATTTCTTCAGTGAACAAACTTTCTAGATTCTTATTTTTTTTATTTCATAGATGCTACAAAATCATATTATTTATAAAACATAGTGTTTAGTAGAACATGATAAAATCAATAACCAAAAACCAAAAAAAACGATAACAAAGATAATAATAAAAATATAAATTATAGCTAGTACATATAAAAAAAAAGAACTGTTTCCATGCACTTCGTTTCGTATCTTCACCCAAGTCCTGAAATTAAATATTTAAGAATATATGTAAACAATATAGTACTACAAAAAACTATATTAAGGGAGTAGGGTTAATGTAATTATCTTAATTTTCCCGAAATTCAGAAATTTCATCCATTCCAAGAGCAGTCATGAAACGCGAAAGACCTTCTTCTTTGTGATTTTGGATAGTAATTTCTTCTAATAAAAAAGAATCAATACGCAGGATGATATCTAAAAATTCAAATTGTTTAGAGTTATATCAAATTAAAAGGTATACCTCCAGTTCTCGTAACACACCAATTGGTTAAAACACAGACGTCAAATGGATCATCATATCCTATGCATTGTTCCTTTATGTCAGATGCTAATGAGCCATGTGCGATACATTCCAATGTATTATCCCTTCAAATTACATAATAGAGTTATTGTAAAACTAAATTATCATAACAATAAGCAATAGAAAATAAAAAGAATGCGCTTACTCATTGTTTTTAAGACGAAAACAAAGTGTCAGAACAATTTTTCCATCTGTCTGCACAACTGGTATGAGATCTCTTACAATGTCAAGTACACCAATCAAATCTGAATAAACACACATATCAATAAAACTACAGCGAAATTTTCAAAAAAAAAACAAAAAAAAACAAAAAACAATATATGATTATACTAACCAATAGGATACTCATGATCGAAAGGATTATTGATAATCTGTGAAAATTGTACGAAACTGAGGAATGCCTTATTAGATATTGGTATTATACGTGAGACCTTTGTGTCGTCAGTCAGAGTAATCATAAAATCGTGTCTAGTTATCTTATCGCAATCATTACTGAGCAATCGGTTGAGTCTAAACCGAGATAACATAATCCAGTGACCTTCATGGCAAACTCGTTCGAAATACTCGAACATCTGATTGTGAACAATTGCCTGAATTCGGCATCCCTACAATATAAGAAAAATATAGAAATTATAAAAAAAATAAAGAAATATACAGAATCAGAGATTTAATACTAAAGAGTTTAGTTTATCATTCACGCTCCACTTTTTCAAAACTTTAACAACAATCCTCCAGTCATCTCTCCATCCATTCATCTCATGAACCAAATCATAAGTACCCATGTTTGTCAGATGTTTAGAGAGAATAAAATATCAGAAAGTAGTTATGTTCTGTTGCATCGAGTCTTTATCAGATCATCTATATATACACGTTAAGTTTTTTAAAATATTATTACGCATAATGATGACGATTCATTAGAAACCGTTTACTTGAACCGAGTCATTTAAAACGATTTCCATTATCCGTTATATATATATATATATATATATATATATAAACATATATATTAAATATAAATACAATATGATCATAACCACTAAAAACAAATTATCTATAAATTTATAATTTTTTTAAAATATAACAAAACACAATCTATATATGTATATCTTCTTTCTATATGATTTAAAAATTTGTTTTAATTCGAAGACAAAACATATGTGTATATTTATGTTTTCATACCGATAAATCATTACTAAATTAAGGAATTCATGATTGTATTATTATTTGTTATTATTATTTCGATATCCGAGTATAACTTGGTTATTAAGGTAGCTAAAAATGTATATATACTGGACCCATTAATCAATCATGATTTAATATTATTGATATAGGTATACCAGATATTATTAAGCAAATAAACATCTAAACATTAAACGAATCTAAATCTCTACAAAAATATTACTGATTTCGATTTTCCTGAAAAACCATCAAGACTAAACACGATTGGGTTCATATCGTAGAATATCTTTACTATCACGATCATTAAAGTTTTTTATGAGGTCTTGGAAAAGACAATTATAGTTAGAAGTCTATTGAAAATTTATGACGACAGTAGTACGTTTTCCTGTGACAAATAGTCGAAGTATATATATATTTCCTAATATGTTTACCTTAGGCAAGTATCCTGATCTAAAGTATGTTTACTTTAGGCAATTACTCGGACTATACCAAAAATAATGTAAATATTTTCCATAATATAAGCCACATAAATCTTATAAAAAAGACATAGACTGACATCGAACCTAACAATATGAGCTATATAAAACACATATAATTCATAAAATATAGTTTGATAATACATCACAAAATTAATATATAAACAATAAGAAAGTATTAAACAAAAGCACTGATCTTAGTTTTAAAAGCAGGCATAAAATTACTAAGTAATGAGTTCGAGAACACAAAGAAGAAACAGTGAAAATAGAGAGGCAGAATAGAGGAAGTCTACAAATAACATCAAACAGTCGATGCTCTCATCCGTAGTTGGTTCCGCCTACGAAAGTGATAAAAAATCATTACCAAAACGTTTTAATAAACATTGAAACAGTAATATATATAGACCCCAAAATTTTAAATACTCACGTCGCTCTAAATGCATCAACTTCTGCATCGATAGGATTGTACAAAAAATCTGAGCATAGATCATTAGATCGGAGAACCACAGACTTCTTAACGACTCCTAAACAACAATAGACAAAAGTTTTATTCAACATTCAGATTTTAAGACATATATGAGGAAATATGTATATACCTTGGCCATTTGTCATCTTCCAGAACCTTAACACCCAGACAACCGATTCACATGTGTTTCTCAGATATACATCATGGAGATTTATTGCTAGAGAACCACGGGCGTGACATGCTAACCGACCTTCTCTTCTGCCACAAGAAAAAATAATACGAAAATTAAAATATTTGGTTAAGACTTTATATGTTAACAGTCTTTTACATATAAATCAATGGACATAATTCATAATACCGTGCATTTACTATCTCAAATCGGAGATAAGCGAGATTCTCTTCATAAGCATCATTACTTGCATTGCAGAGTGGACCCATATTCACAATAGTTCCCATAACGTCTGATAATAAACAAAATAATAAATTGGATTTAAATCTATTACAAAACTTAACATATATGTTTAGAAATTATCATGCACACCGATAAACTTGATTAATTCTTATAAAAAGTTAAAGATGAAATTCTTACCAATCAGATAGTCAAAAGGAATGGCTCGATCCACAATATCATAAAATCGGAAGCAATGGAGATACAAATTGTACGACCTCGTTCGAATAGGGGTGATAATAGTGACAGAAGTTAACTGCAAACGATGTTTATTGATCGTTGTAAGCATTGATCTAGTAGCTTCTTTAACATGAAAGTTGAAAATCCGAATCCACTGTCCCTGTTTGATTTCTTTCCAGTGAGTGGGAAACTCGTTTGGCATAATGGTTGCAGCAATCCGAGTACCCTAGAAAAATAACACAGCCAAAAATAATCATTGAATAATAAACAGAAAACATAAAAGAATAACTTAAAAAAAAGACACATACTTTGATATCAGACAAAACCATCTCGATAGTATTTCCGAAGAATGTTGAATGCTTCCAGAGCCTGACAACCTTGACAGATATTAACCACCCTGTTTTGATAGTATCCAAACATGCAACATCGACAACATCAGACATTTTAGAAACTTTTTTTTTCTTCTTTTCGATCGAGAACTCTGAATAAGTTTTATAAAGAGGAAAACTAAAAGTGACGGAGTATGAGAAAGTGTGTTAAATATGAAAAGGACAGACTATGCAATTGAATAGGCAGTTATTCTTTCTTATAAATTTTTTTTTGTTTGAATTATTTTAAAAGAAAAAAATTGAACAGTTACCATATAAAGCCCCTTATTGTCAAAACCAACAACAATCCATTAATTTATGTCAAGACACTTCCATATTGATATTGACCGATTTGTTCATGTGCCAGAGAGAATATATTCCATGTTTTAAGTTTCACCAAAGATACACGCAATCTCAATAAGTAAATATATTATTTTACTAAATATAAAACTTTGCTAAATTGCAACACTTTCCATAAAATAATATGATCTCTCTCTATAGCTTATGTTATTTGGACAATTTTATGTTTCAATATTTTAGGAAATGATATATTCATACAATATCATAACAAAAATGACATTTATGTAGACTTATATGTTATAACTTTATGTATCTACTTGAGCAATTTTCCTTAAAATTATATGAAACAGGAAACCTGGAAAGTCAAACGGTTAGGTGCAAACATAAAGTCGCATAATCTTCCCCGTAAAGAAATTGAAAAATGTGAAAATTGATTATTATTGCACATCTTATAAATACTGACTTCAGGGTTTCTTTTCAAAAAACTTTAAAATATTTTATAAGTAGCCTTATCGTTTCTGAGAGCATTCATAAGAACATGGCGAACACAAACGAAAAAAAAATCGATGAAAATGGCTTGTTGATCATCAATCCCCCACCATTGGTAATGAGATTCGGTGTCGTGGAACCTAAGTCACCACCTTCACCAACAGATTCCGAGATAGAGCAAGAAGAATTATGGGAACAATTACATTTATTCACCGCATCAAATCAGAAAGCCAAACAGAACACTCCTCAGGTAATACATCCTATTCACTAAATTTTATTTTAATCATGTCTTACACAATGAATTGTAAAATCTGTATATTCTACTTATGGAGGATGACAAAGGCAACACATCTAATGAGACACCCCAATCAAGTTGCACAAAACGAAAACACGACCTGATTCTAGATCTGGAGATAGGGTTGAAGTGCATGCGTTGCGGTTTTGTGGAGACAGAAATTCGACACATGGATACCGCCGAATGGGTACGTAATCAGAAATATATTTAGATTGATAATGAAAAGTTTTCTAAAATCTATGTTATTGAGTCATTATATTTTGTTATTGATTGCCCATTGAACTCTATGTTTTAGAAACAATTCATGTTTAAATATAATATTGAGTTAGTTTAAAGCTATATAATTTTACAAAAATCTAAATTGGATTGTTTGTGTCTGTGTTTAAAAGGAGAGGAGAAGGAACATAAAAAGAGGAGGTCTGGAGTTTAATCAAGAACCATATCAGTTTCAAATCAATTTCATGTTTTTTTTTTTCCTGTTTGCAATGACCACTTTAAAGACAGTATGTACTTGGTTTTATTTTCTAAAAACTATTAAGTTTATTTCGATGACATTATAATTTGGTTTTGGAGCATTCTCGATATTTACAACTACGTGACAATGTTCATCATATGAAATGTCAATAGATGCCCAATAATATGCTACAATTTAAGTTTCATTAAAATATGTTATCGAATTGAGTTTGTCATTGGAATATCCGACTACAGTTAAACGTCAGAGATCAAACCATTAATACATCAGATCCAACTTAGTGAAAAATTGAAAAACATCAAATCTATTAAAAACTATAAAACCGAACGTAATGGTCTTATATAATAAAAAGAACTAACATATTTCGAGATACATAGAGACAACAAACCACAAAACAAAACACAGTAAAAAGAACTATCATATCTTGTCAAACACCTCCTTGTAGACGACATTCAATGTTTTGTTTTGTGGTTTGTTGTCTTTATCGGTGATCAATATCTTCAAACCTTCTCTGGATGTAACCCTCGATACAACGACATAGAGTTGCCCATGAGTAAATACCGGCCTTGAAAGATACAAACCAACCTTTTCGAGTGTCTGTCCTTGGCTTTTGTTTATAGGCATTGCAAAAGCTAATGTGATAGGAAACTGCTTGCGTCTCATCCTGAAAGGAAGTTTCATCTCCGAAGGAGAGAGAAATATCCTAGGAATTAGTACCTTTTCACCAACCTTGCTACCTGTTATTATCTGAGCCTGTAGAACATAATTAGCCATCTTAGTAATGATGAGTCTTGTGCCATTACACAACCCATTCTTAGGGTCGATATTTCTTAGAAGCATTACAGGAATACCCTCTCTCAACTTCAGGACATGATTAGGGAAACCAGACATCTTGATACTATTTAAAAACTCCTCGTTATAAATCATATTGTTGGAAACACCTTTATTCTTACTGGCTACACTCTCTGAGGGTATTTCAGATGCATCATTGTAATTGACAACTTCTTCATCTGTATCAATGCTATCACAACTAAGATAGGTCCTTTCAACACCTGTTATATGCAAAACAATCGTTGTAAATATAAACAAATAAGTTAAGAGGAACTAAAACAAAATAAACATACCCGACAACTTTGAAAACATGTAATTATTTATCGTATCTACATCATCGTTTCTTGGACTCAGTATGGCACGGTCTTGGAAAAATTTAGGATCAGTCTCTTTCGAAAACGAACTCCCATAAATTTCTTTGACGATCGTTTTTATAGGATCTTTACAGTCTTTAATCAACAGATCATCAGGAATATCAATCACGTCTTCACCACTTCCATCGTCATTTATCGTTCTATCACCAATGTCTAAGATCCACTTTGTAAAGGCAGCTCGTTCAAGCATTGCACAGCTATTATCTCCAGCTATAAGTCGCATGTTCTGTGTAAGTCTCAACACTCTACATTTGTACCACAGAGGTGACAAATTCAAAGTGGCCATAAGTATCTCTGTCTTCCCGGCATTTGGAATCACTGGCAATATTTGCCTGAAATCCCCTCCTAAAACAATGACCATGTCACCAAAGGGCTTATCAACTTCTAATATATCACGCATTGTTCTATCTAGAGTCTCGAAACAGTCTTTACTCATCATCAACGCCTCATCCCATATAATGAGTTTAGCAATCCTTATCAGGTCGGCAAGATTCGACTCCTTCTTGATTGAACAAAAGGTAAACTTATTAACCACGATAGGGATTGCAAATCTTGAATGCGCAGTTCGGCCTCCTTCTAATAACAACGCAGAAATCCCGCTCGATGCAACCTTAAGAACAACATCACCTTGGGAACGTAGAGCAGATCCTAATAGACTCCACAAATAAGTTTTACCAGTACCTCCAGAACCATAAACAACGAACATACCTCCTTTGTTCTTATTTACTGCTTATAGGATCTCATCATAAACACTTCTCTGTTCGCTGGTTACAATGGCTAACATCTGCTCGTTTCTAACTCTAAGAGTCTGAATAAGAGGATTATCACGTGACTCCAGAGTAATATCTTCAGGAAACGGCATAGGTGTGGATTCTTTTAAGGATCTCCCACTTACACGTAAAAGAAGTTCAATTTCGACCAGAGTAAAGTCTTTAACTTGTTCCTGAGATAGACTAACAGCTACACAATTTCAAAAAAATTACAAAAGAGAAATTAGCTATCAATATCTTAAAGATATATAGTAACAACAATGCAAACAATAACTATACGACTTACTTTGATCCCTGGCAGCCTTTCTGTAATTATATATGATGTCATCTGATAATACCTGCCATGTAGCATCCCAAACTCTAGAAGGAATGGATATACTATGAGTAGTAAGCAGGATCACAAAAAGACGACGGAGATAATTGGCAGAAAGCCATAATCCAGCCTCATTGATGGCCTCAATATATTCTTTGTCATCATTCAATAATCCATACGCATAGCAAGCGTCTTTGAACGAAGAATGTAGAACTTTGTTGACCGTTTTTATATCGTCAAAACTACGTGGTCCTTTGACTAAATTAAGCAGAAGCCTTAAATAATACGCTTCACCTGCCCCAATGGGTACGTACGTGATTCTACCAAGAGCAACTCTCCTAGATCGTGGCGTCCATATCCTGTTTGGGTTATTCCACACAAATCTCGTAGGAATTTGAGCATAAGTTAACGTCCTCGCCAGTTTATACTTACGTTGCATTCCATCCAAGCAATGAATTTTGACGTACCAACTGAGACACGATTAATAACCTCGTCACCTGGATCATCCTCGTTGTATATGACCATTTGCTGGTTCGGTAAATGAAAGGGTAGTTTAACTACAGAAACTGGCGATGGTGAGTATTATTACCGAAAATTCTCCACGTAGACTCCGAATGTGCTACATACCTATATAGAAAGACATTATTAAATAATGGAAGATTGGAATTTCAAAGATATAAAATATGTGAACAAAATGTTTAAAACATACCTACAGTTGAAGTGATTCTTAATCTCGTTTTCTCTATCATCATTCTTGATAGTTGCACGGATGTAGTCAGCACCTTTAAGAATATATTTGAATAGATACTTTACTGATCGAGATTGTACACACCATTCGACGTTGATATGAGTCCTATAAAGCAGTGTGAGGCTCCTATTATAAGGAACCACAAATCCATTATCACATTCAATACCGTTTTTAACGATAACTTTCTTGTCATTACGTCGCCTGTATATAGGATATCCAACATCATCTATTTTAGTGATCGGACTGAAAGGTTTTGGAAAATACTTTGTACATTTTCCTTCAGCCATGCAAACACTATCCTTATTCAAAGCACCACATGGTCCATGCATCATGACATCTCCTACTATCTCAGACAGCGCTGGATAAATATCCTTGTCAGGAATCTCAGCACATATTATCTTATCAATGTCATCACCAGTTGGTAGCTTGTGACCAGCCTCTAAAAAAAGAATGATGTGCGCATGAGGTAGTCCCTGTTTTTGAAACTCAATCGTGTAGATCGCTGCAACGAATAAATTGTAGTTTTTAAAAGATTAGTTATCATGATCATCTAGCAATGGTATGGACATTATCTTGCTAAACAAAATAAGATACTTAGTTTAATAAAACATACCGGCTTTTACGACACCTAACACATTTTCTTTGGTGAGTCTGTGCATGAGATCATCTAGTTTCATCTTGAACACTCGCGTACATACACTACAAGAAAAACATCATTTTACGACGGCCAAAATGGTCGTTATTTCGTCGTAATAGGGCTATTACGACGAACTACCGACGATTACGAAATCGTCGTAAAGTCATCGTCGTAATAGACAAATCGTCGTAATAGACAAATCGTCGTAAAATCGTCGTATAATATACGACGGTTTCGTTTCGTCGTAACATCGAGGGAAACCAAATCGTCGTAAATGCGTCGTACAGTTTACGACGATTTTACATCGAATTGCGTCGACTTGGTCTTCGCCTGGACCGTCGTTAAGTGGTCGTTAATGGTCGACGTAAGATCGTCGTAAAATGTACGACGCAAAAATCATCGTAAATCAATCGTAAAGTATTTAATCATTTCGTCGTAAAATCGTCGTAAAGCGCGGACGTATAATCGTCGTATTTGTGGTCGTACATTTTGGTCGTAAATTCGTCGTAATATTTACGACGAATGTACGACGGTTTTAAATAAAGATATTACGGCGATTATACGACGTTTAATATAATTGAAAATTAAAAAAAAAAATAATTCGAATTAAAATTTAAATTAAAAAAAATAATTTACAATTTAAATTTATTAAAATTTCAAATTAAAATTAATTGTAATTTACAAAAATACCCTACAGCTCTAAATCTAATTCTAAATCTATATCGTCGATCCCATCACCGGCCTGCTCCCCATCGTCTTGGACGTGTTCCTTGCCGGGTCTTCGGTTTGATGCTTCCGCCGGCGCCTGATCTCCGGCTCTAGGAGGCTCAACCCCGAGAGATCGGAACATCTCCTCGTCCGTCTGCACCGGCGGTTGCGTCCTAGTGGATGGCAGCAGACGATCCGACAACCCCATCAGCCCGCAGCTTGTCCAACTGCGCCATGAGCACCGGGTTGTCGGCTCCGATGATCTCGAAGAGACCGTAGAGCTGGTCGATCCTCGTCTCGTAACGGATCCGCATCTGATCGATCTCCTGGCGGATAACCGGATCCGGGACCCGGACGTGACCAATCGCCGTAGCTCTCGGGGTATCACGGATGGACCCCATCCCTAATACCCGCCCCTTTTTCTTGGGGGCAACCTACAAATATTTAAAAACATTATGGTTAGAAATTCAATTTATAACTAAAGTTACATTAATTAAATATATTAATTAAATTTACCTCTTCGAAAATCTGGTCCATCTCCGCCACTGTCAGCGCCGGGGTCGATTGGACCGAGCTACCTCCGGGAGACGTTTGACGCGCCTGCTGAGTCAGCTGCATCTGTCGCTCCTCGATCGCCGCACAGGCGGCGTTGTAGATCTCCTCCGCCCGAGGATCCGTGAATTCGCCGTTCCGCTTTTTATGCATCTCGGCGAAAACCTTTGTCATCGGAGGAAGTTCTCCTCCGTTATCTTCGACCTACAAAATCAAAATGAAAAAATTAGTATCGACAAATAAGGGTTAATTATTTGAAAACAAAAAAATCAGTAATTTTAATTTACTTACCATCATAAGTCGTCTTCCGGCAAAAGGAATCTGGTCGGAAGTGTGCGGAACGTTCTTCCGATTTCCCGCATCGTCAGTAGCGTTCCTGAAAAATATTTTCATTAGAATATATTATAAGAATTAATAAAAACAAATAATGTAAATATTAATGGAATTAACTACTTACCTAGATCCGGAACACTTGGCGGCCGTAGTCTGGTTGTGCGGATCCAACCAGTACTGGACAAGGCCCCGCCAGACGGAATTGGCCATAGACGCCGACTTGGCCTTGTCGCCGTCAACCTCCCACTTCCGTCTCCAGTCGGAAACGGTGTTATTGAGGCGGAATTTGACCTTCTCCTTGAAGGCCGTCTCCACACGTCCGTGTGCGGATGTTTCCCAATGCCAGTTTTGCTAGGAAAAAAAAAAGTTAGTAATTATTGTAAAAAGTTAAAATTAAAAATTAAAATTAAACGAAATTGTAAATTACTTACCGCAAAACACTTGAACCAAGTGTCAAGTGTGGCCTGATCCAGCTTCTTCCAGCTGGTATGGGGTTGTACGAAAAACCCCTTGATGATATCCGCAACGTTAGAAGAAACCCATCTGAACAATGCTGACTTTTGATCTGCACTCAACCGAAATACAGGAACTGGTGCTTTCCCGTTTCTCAGTAGATGCAACTCACTTCTGTTGCATAAATCAGGCAAGTCCAATCTTGACTTACCATTGTCTTTTGTTTATCCCGCTACGTTCATAACTGTATGTATGATGTTATCAAAAAAGTTTTTTTTCAATGTGCATGACATCAAGATTGTGTCTGAGCAGATGATCTTTCCAATAAGGTAGTTGCCAAAAAATACTTTTCTTGTGCCAATTATGATGAACTCCATAACCTTCAGGCATATTTGCAGGAGTGTGCCAGTTTCTTCCACGCGTTACTGTTTCCTCTGCCCTCCAATGATCGATTTGCGCCTGTATATCAGCTCCTGTTAAATTAACGGGTAGAGGGACATGTACACTTTTGTTATTCATAAATAACCTCTTGTTCCTCCGATATGGATGGTTATCCGGTAAAAACCTCCGGTGACAATCAAACTAACAAGTTTTTCTACCATGTTTTAGCTGAAACGCATCAGTTCGATGAAGACAATAAGGACAAGATAGCCTCCCATGTGTAGTCCATCCTGATAGCATACCATAAGCGGGGAAATCGCTTATTGTCCACATAAGCACAGCCCGCATAGTAAAATTTTTCCTCGTAGAACAGTCATATGTACGAACGCCAGTATACCATAACTGATTAACTCATGTATGAGTGGCTGCAGAAATACATCGAGAGCTCGCTTCGGATGATTTGGACCTGGAACCAAAATACTTAGGAAAAGAAATTCCCTTTGCATGCACAAATCTGGAGGAAGGTTATAAGGAGTTAGGATTACTGGCCATAATGAATATTGTCTACCAGACATACCAAATGGACTAAAACCATCAGTGCACAGACCAAGATAGACATTCCGTTTGAACTTAGCAAAATCTGGGTATACCATATTGAAGTGTTTCCATGCCTTTGCATCTGATGGATGAACAACTTCTCCATCTACTTGTGTATGTTCTGCATGCCATCTCATTGATGCAGCTGTCCTTTCAGATTGATAAAGCCGTTTTAACCTATCAGTTATAGGGAGATACCACATACGTTGGTACGGTATCCTTTTACGCCCACCAGTTTGCGGCCTGTATCTTGGTTTTTGGCAAAATCGACATTCCTCCAGCTGATTATCATCTTTCCAAAAAATCATACAATTGTCAACACATACATCTATCATCTCAGAAGGTAGACCAAGACTAAAAATCAACTTCTGAATTTCATAGTATGTTCCCGCTGCCAAGTTATCCTCCGATAGATACTCCTTCAGAAGATCAGCCCAATCATCCATGCAAACCTCAGCCAGGTTATGATCTGTTTTAATTGACATCATCCTAGCTGCCAACGATAATTTAGACAAGCCTTCTCTACATCCTTCGTAGATTGGCTGATTAGCATTGTCTAACAAATCATAAAATTGTTTGGAATCTACATTAGGTTCCTCAACAGCATTACCAGTATGCGTTTCATGAAATGCATCAGTCACCATTTCGTGCATCCTATCATGATCTACACTTTGATCATATTGATACTGATTAGGCTGATGACCATAATTCGATTCATCAATATCAACATGACTTTGATAATTACTACTACTACCAGCATTCCCATGAGTATTACTGCCATATCCTTCTCCATGTAGATACCAAACAAAATATTGCGGCATAAACCCTCTATTTAATAAATGCGTCCACACGGTTTTGGTTAGTGTATACCTCGTATTCTTGCATTTCAAACAAGGACAAAACATCTTCCCACTATCTTTCGTTCTCTCCATATTTGTAGCCTGAAACATAAATATTTCTAACCCGTTCTTGAACTCTTCTGTCAACGCCCCATCTGAATCTTTACGCATATACATCCAACTGCTTAGCTCGTATATAAACATCTTGAAAATAAACTCAAAATACTATCTCTTTTTATTGATTAGACAATTGTGTCACGTCTAGCCACGTGAATGGAGTAAATTAACCTTATAATATTATTACTTCTTTTTTTCAAAGTAATATAACTCTTAATTCGGGTTTCCAGCAATGGACAACCCAATACATAAGGATTTACAACACTATACTAAAATTTAAGAGACCTACAATGGGTCTCAAAGATGAAGATGCTCTTATGTTTGAATGATGATGTGTTGTGATTGAAAGAAGGAATGAAGATCTATTTATAGGAAAATTTCGGGCTTTACAACGCTTCTACGACGACATTTTATGACGAATTTACATTCAAAAATAATATTACGACGAGTTTACGACGATTATGTGATAAAATCTTTCCCCTGCAATTGTTAGGTAAACATGTTTTAAATGTTTTTCACCTAACTTTTTTTTCGACGTAAAATCGTCGTAATATGTACATCGAAATGCAGTCGTCGTATATTCGTCGTAATTTTACATCGAATTTACGACGATTTTACATTTACTAGCAAATCTCTCGTTATCGACGTATAATCGTCGTAATTCGTCGTAAATTGTACGTCGAGTTTACGACGATTTTTTTTATACGACGGTGTTACGACGGTTTTAAAATTAGACGTAAGATCGTCGTACAATCGTTGTAAGCTTGTGACGATTTGAAAACCATCGTAATGGACCGTTGGAAAACGATTGTTTTCTTGTAGTGATATATCTGGTCTATCCTCTTGCTTCAAGTTATATCTTTTTAGGTGCCTGGTAATCTCAGGCCATTTGGGATTACACGTAAAGGTTATGAAAAGATCCGGAAAACCAAAATGTTGGCAAGTACTCATCGCATCTAGATAATGTTGCACCATATACCTTGTACCACCAGTATAAGAAGAAGGTATAATAATACGTTTACCCTTGTCAGAAAGATCAGTGTCACCTTCATTAACAGTT